CCCCCCCTCAACCCCTTTCCCCCACACAAAATTCTGCCACATCATATCCACCGATGGTGTGAGAAAGTCTATGCAATAAAATCAAGGTGTCTACGTCTTGGTGATGGTGGTGACGAGGAGCGAGCTTGGTACCTGGGCATGGACGAGCTTGAGCACGTTTGCCGAGAGTGCCACTACAAGCACGAATGCGCCCCACGATGCGAGTGCGATGGCCGCCTTGCGCAGCCGCGACTGTGGCTGGTCTGCAAACAGCGAGGCATACAGCACACCGGGCAGGATAAAGCTGATGGTCGTACTTCCCACAGACCCGACGAATCCCAAAATGATCGAAAGGTCATCCACCAGCAGACTGATGATGAACGTCGTGCTTAAAATGCCCGCTGTCATGAGACACCACTTGCCCAGCGGGATCTCGTCATCATCCTCCACCATCTGCTGGGCAGCGCGTCCATTCACCGGTGGGGTGTCGGCGTCTTCATCGTCGCGATACGGCTCGATCTCGTCGTCTTGCTCGTCGGGGAGTAGTGCAGCCGAGGCGGCGGCATCCAGGATCTGCTGTCGCCTGCTCGCGCGCGAGAAGACCTTGTCGAGACTCGCGCGGCACGGATGCACCTGCAGCGGATAGCTGAAGATGGTCAGGATGATGATGCTCACCCTGCCAAAGCAGACGAACAGGCTGGTGCTGGGGTACATGGCGATGATGTTGTCGCCGACATTGCTGCCAAAGCTGAGATACCCGAGCACGCCCACGATCAGATACACCGTGCCTCCGGTACCGATGGACGAGCCAATGGCCGTGTTGACGCGGCCCTCGACGTTGTGGAACAGCTCGTTGTACACCGGCAGCATGTTCTGTGCGCACGTGAACGCGAATACGAACACGGGGAATATGCTGATCGTATGCCACGAGACTGCCACCACCTCTACGTCCCCTTTAGGCGGTAAGGACGCCTTTGCATCCGAGCTGAAGCTATAGTGCAGCACGATGATCACCAGGTAGAATACCGCGAGCAGGCTGAGGTAGCTCGTGTGGCGCAGCGAGTCGAGCCTGCGCAGGAAGCACAGCGGGATCAGCAGGATGATGAGCGCCAGGATCCAGAAGCTGCGATCGAGAAAGAGCGTGGGGATCTGGTGGACGTCGCGGTGGAAGGCGCGAAAGAAGCTGATGATGACCTGGGGCATGAGCTGGCCACAGATGATGAGGTACGAGATGCTGACGCCGTAGCACTTGAGCGCGATCGCCAGGTCAAAGTACCACGCACCCGCCGGCAACGCCTTGGAGGCTATCGTGAAGAAGCTGTTCTTGCGCCCACCCACGCGCGCCGCACAGCGTGTCAGCAGGTACAACCCCAACGCCGCCGTGCAGCCGCAGAAGACGATGAGAAACATGCCGAGCAGCAGGCCGGTGTACTTGAATGCGCCCGGGGTCGCGAGCATGCCCGTTCCGATGATGGTATTGGTGAGGTTGCTGATGCTCGAGAGCAGACTCGCCGAGCCCTGCCGTTCGATCGAGGCGGTCGACACGATGCGCTGGCTCCGTCGGCGGGAGGCACGGCGCACGTGTGTGGGGTGCTGCACCTCATCCTGCTCGTACGACAGCGTCACCATCGTGGAGAGACGCAGCAAAGAACGCTGCGGTGTCGAAGGTTTGAATCGTCTAGATAGAGGGTTCGAGGTTGTGGTGCGTGGTGAAGAGGTGGTGACACGGGCGTTGTGTTTGTGCAAACCACACTTTCAGGCACGGCAGCTGTCCCACCTGGCCCACCTGTCGCACCTGTCGCACCTGTCCCACCAGATGGGCGTCCCAAACGCAACCTAATTTTAGCCGAAAAATGTATAGTTTCGATCTCACATTTTGACAATTTTTTGGGGGGTCGCGAGGTGGAGGAGTCGGCGGAATATGCAGGTGAAGGGCGCTTTGCATGCATTCGACTCAGCCGCTCCTCATTTCGGACCCTTACGCTTCTTTCGTCCATCATCCCAACACCCCGCCTTACTCCAATACACCAGCGACGACGCATCGCCATGGGCTACCTCGCGCTCACATCTGGGCTGCATAGTGCGCCACCAATCAGCTCACTCGCCTGATCGCCACCAGCTGCTTTGGCCCACCATGCACAAGCCAAGCATCAGACAGCATTCGGACGCGGATTCGGACCCAGGCCCATCACGCAAGCGCAAGGTCCAGTGGGCTGACGAGGACGATCGCGATGATGCGCGGCCCCTTGTCCTCGAAGATACAGCGCAATTCCACTTCACCGAGACCCGTGTCGACGAGAATGGCATGCCCATCATCGCTTCCACGACCGAGGGCGAGGATGCCGAGGTACAGGCTGAACCTGCCTCGAGGGATGCTGCAGACTCCAAAGCCCACAATCTCGAGCTGCGCTCTGAAATCTACAATCCAATCGAGTACGGCGACTTCCGCTCCTACATGAAGCACAAGCGTGCCAAGCTCAAGGTCCAGGAAGCCGCACTCCTCCAGGAGGAAGAAGCTCTCCTCCGCGTGCAAGCCGACGCAAGCGACAGCACAGCAAAGCAGACCTCCTTGGCAGCCGAGATCGAGGCGGAAGGTGGACAGCGCTCCGACGCCCTCAAAGGTTGTTGCATCTACATCAACGGCCAGACCCACCCTCCTTACAGCGAACTGCGCCGCCTCCTCGTCCTGCACGGCGGTGATCTGATGGCATACCTCGACCAAAAGTCGCCCGTCACACACATTGTCGCCTCCAACCTCACTCCAAAGAAGCGCATCGAGTTCAAAGACTACAAGGTCGTGCTGCCCGGCTGGATCCTCGAAAGCATCGAGCTCGGCAGAAAGGCGGATTGGCGCAAGTGGCGCTGCGACGCAATCACTGGGTCCAATAGCCACACCTCGCACAGCATGGTCGCAAGAACCACGCAACAGCAGCAAGGAGCTAGCACCGGCGTGTCGGATTGGAGGAACTTAGACCGTACTGCCAAGCTGCCAAAGCCGCTGCCTCGTATCGGAGACGAGGATCAGGGTACGCCCTGGGGCAAGCCTACCAACCAGACAACGCTCCTCGACCGCTTCACGCGCACAGACAATCAGCCATCAATCGCCCCCTCAATACAGAAGCAAAGCGACGTCGTCGCCGATGTTAATCCCGCTGACGCAAGTACGGCCAGCAATGGCAAAGGCGTCCGCTTTGGTGAGAACCATCTCATCGAGCCTGTGCCCCCGCTGCCCGAAGAGAAATCACAGCCCCCCGTACCCGAGCCTGTCACTCCGACCAAGCCCAAAGACATGATACCCGCGAGTGTGGGCACAGACCCGGCCTCCAAGAAAGCCGCGCTTGCCGTCACCAAGAGCCACTACGCCTCACGCCCTTCCAACACCCATGCCGCACGTCTGCTCGCCAGTCCCAGCTGGCGCGAACGCAACACGGCCACCAGCGAAGGCTTCCTTGCCGGCTACTTTGCCAAGTCACGTCTGCACCACCTCAGCACCTGGAAGACGAGCTTGCAGGACATGGTCAGCTCTGCCCTCCGCGAGGCCGGCCGGCCGCTCGCAAGTGCAGACCTTCCCAAAGGCGTTCAGCGCGTGATCATGCACATCGACTTTGACAGCTTCTTCGTAGCCGTCGGCCTCAGAAAGCGCGCGGATCTGCACGACAAGCCGGTAGTCGTCTGCCACGGCACAGGCGTTGGGGTCGGGATGCCGGCTCAGAAGCCGGGCGACGAGAACAGGCCGGCCGATAATCAGTCGTCGAGCACATCCGAGATCGCCTCTTGCAGCTACAAGGCGCGCGAGTTCGGCATCCGCAACGGCATGAGCCTCGGCCAGGCCAAGCGGCTCTGTCCGCACGTTGAGACGATTCCGTACGACTTTGAGGCGTACAACAACATCAGCCTCTCGTTTTATGCGTTTCTGCTAGAGCACTCGGACGCGCTCCAGGCAGTCTCGGTGGACGAGGCGCTCGTGGATGTTAGCTTGCTTCTGCAAAGCATGCGCGATGGCGACGCCGCTCCAGGCTCGCTCTACGACCGCTACCGCGACCATCTCGGCTCCCAAGGCGACGCATGGAGCGCCGAGAAGCAGCTCGCCGAGGCATTCCGCGACGAGATCCGCGATCGCTGCGGCTGCGAAGCGAGCATTGGGATCGGATCCAACATACTGTTGGCGCGTCTGGCCACCCGGCGTGCCAAGCCCGGCGGCTCGTTCCATCTCACCGACGATTCGAAGCAGCCGTTCCTCGACGAGCTCGACGTCGACGACTTGCACGGCATTGGCTGGAGCCTTCGCGAGAGACTGCGCGAGATGTTTGAGACCATCAATGTCGGCCAGATCCTGGCGAAGACCACCGAGCGCAAGCTCACCGCGGAGTTCGGGCCCAAGAAGGGCAAGATGATCTGGGACAAGATGCACGGCATCGACGCTGATCGACTCGAGGGCAACAAGCTGCGCCAGTCGGTCGGCTCGCACGTCAATTACGGCATCCGCTTCCTCACCGAGCAAGAGGCAGAGACGTTTGTCACGGGCATGTGCCAGGAGGTCGCCCAGCGCACCCGCGCAGTCAAGCTCAGGGGAAGGCAGGTGTCGGTGCAGGTCATGGTGCGCGCCAAAGACGCGCCCGTAGAAGCTCCAAAGTTCCTCGGCCACGGCGTGTGCGACACGCACCATCGCAGCGTCCAGGTCAGCGGGCCTGGCGGAGTGGCGATCGACGACGAAGAAAGGATACGCGCGGCGGCGTGGCCTCTGATCCGCGATCTGAGGGCGGACCCCAAGGAGCTGCGCGGCATCGCCATCAGCTTGAACAAGCTCGAGGCTGCAGAGGGAAACGCACTCTCGCCTGCCAAGCTTAAGGGCGGACAGGCCGTGCTCAACTTCCACAACGCCAGCTCGTCTTCGAAGGCGGCGCCGAAGCAGTCGGCAGTCAGCAGGGAGACCGTTCTGCATCTGCACAAGACCAGCAAGCTGAACGAAGACGACGACACAGACGGAACGGCGCATGAACAGATCGACGAGCCTGGCCTCGAGCTGCCCGAGTCCCTGGAGAAAGGCCCGACCGCGGGCACATCGCGGCGACCCACCGCAGCATCGGCAGCCCAGGGAAGTGTCGAGCGCACTCCTGCAGCTCTGCCTCTGTCGACGCAGCTCATGCTGCCTTCACGATCTCAGATCGACCCCGACGTCTTCGAGGCCTTACCCACTCCGTATCGGCGGCAGATTCAGGCCAAGTTCGGCGAGGACACGATCTCTGAGCCTGGCTCACAGACGCGGGCGCGAGTCTTGCCGCGGTCAACGCCGACCACACCTCAAAAGGCTAAAGCGGCGCCGTCGGCTGCGATGGCCGAAGCGCTCAAGCTGCCATCCGCATCACAGATCGATCCTGCAGTGCTAGCCGAGCTGCCGGCCTCGGTGCGCAAAGAAATCGAGCGTCAAGTCGGGCTTGTCCCTGACGACTCTGCGGGCACCTCGTCCGTCGAGAGCACGCCGACACGACGAAAGAACGCGACGACAGCCACGCTCACGCGCTTCCTCAAGCAGGATCCGAAGCACGCGCTGTTCCGATCTGCGTCCGAGTCGCCCACCAAGAAGCGGGTTGTGAATCGGCTGCTGCACACGGCGGGGCAGTATGCGCCCAAGGACCAGCGCGCAGTGGACAGGGAGGAGGTGCTTGCGATGGTCCCGAGCAAGATCGCGACCGAGACGCTACAAGGGCTGGGGATCGATGCCGAGGTCTTCCGCGCGCTGCCGATGGAGCTGCAGCGCGAGACGTTCCGCCACCACTCGGAACAGCGAAAGTCGGAGCAGGCGAGGTTCAAGGCGGGCAAGACGAGCACGTTCGAGGAGCTCACGCATGCCGAGCAGCGCCGACGCGACACGCTGCGTGCGGCGCACAGCGATCCCACTGCACCGCCTGCGTTCTTGGTGGCACGTCCGCGATGGCGTATCCCGCGTGCGGAAGCGAGGATCCTTGACAGTGAGCCTCAGAGCGCGGTGGAGGTGCCGTCGATCCGGGGATTGACGCGGTACGAGGATGTCGAGCAGCTGATCCGACAGTGGTTGCGGGCATTTGCGGTCACGGGACCGCGCAGGGGCGATGTGGACAGGATTGCGACGTACCTCGCACAGACACTGCGTGTGGCAGCGCAAACGAGGGTCGAGGAGGCACACAAGACCGACGCCATCCTGCGCCTGATCAACGAGGCTATCAGCCAAGAGGAGGACAAGGGCAAGCTGGTTGCACGAGATGCATGGAGAGATGCGGTGCAGAGAATCCGCAGCGCGGTGCAGGCGCAGGCTCACAGCTCTTTTCACGGCGCACACTTGTAGCTGCAAAGCACAAAATGCGATGCTACGAGTATCTACAAGTGTGTACATGTACTACTGCGCGGTGATGTGGCGTCGGGTTCGGTTTCGGATCCTGATGGCTACAACGACGCCTGCCCACATGAAAGGCTGCATGGCGGTCAGCGCCAAAACGGCGACGTGGCTCGAGATATGCTGCTGGTCCCCGACCACGCGCTTGACTTGCACCATGCACTTGGCCGCTGCGGCTGCGATGGAGATTGCGATCCAAGCTGTGACGAAGGCGGGCAGCTTTGGCTTTCTCTGCTTCTCGTGCTTGGTAAGTGTAAAGTGCAGGGGGTCTTGGTGGGGAGTTTTGGAGGGGTGGAATCCGTAGAGCAGGAGAACGCGGATTGCCTGCACCATGGTTGCGTGCAAGGCGAGCATGGCGGCCAACCAGGTGAGCTGGAACTGGACCGCTTCTGCAAGCGATGTGTTGACGGCTTCGCCCGCGAAGATCTGAATGCCACGTTGGGCCAGCGACTCGTTGGAGCTCAAGAAGGACAGCACCACCGCCGCAATCAAGTTGGAGGCGACCAGTTTGGCGTCGTACGGGAAGCGACGCAGCGGGATTTCGGTCAGCGCCTTTTCCACCTCGTCTTGATCCCTCGCGCCGTTGGACGGCAAAGGCAAAGGGATGAGGATGCTTCGCTGGCATCGGTAGACCAGTACGAGTGCAGCTACGACGAGGCACAGGTACAGCTGGGCCGCTCCCAGGTTGAGCGGCCAGACGAGCGACGATAAGCTGAGCAGCGTAAGTGCCTCGGCCGACACGTAAACCGCATTGCGCGGCCGCGCGCACACCGCCACCAGCACCGGAACCAACGAGACAAGAGAAAGCAGCTCCGACGCCCACTGGGCTGCAGGCACGGCAGTGTCGATAAATGTCATGGTGAAAAAAGTCGGCTGAGGTTCATGCGATCGTGAGGAGTTCCCCCCCCCCCCCCCCCCCCCCCCCC